ATTTAGACTTTTTTTGACTAGCATATAAATAAATGAGGTTGTGGAGGAACGTCAAATCAAAGCATACCCTTGCAATGTGTCAGAACAGTGATCTAAGGACACACTGCTAAGAGTTTGGGGGAAAAATAAGTAAATCCAAAGACCCTGACTAGATGCAAAAGTATGCCAACACAGTCACAATAGACTAAACAGCTTTGGAAAGGCACTTTCATCAGAAAATTAAACAATTTTGACACTACGATTTTGCAACTTAAATTTCACATAGAGTAAAGGCATATGGATTTGGGATGTGTCCTGAGCTCCAGTCAAGCAGAAAGCAATAGAGAATTACTTCTGTAAACAGGAAGTAAAGAAACAGATACAGGATGCTTGGCATACAGAATCTAGCATCAAAGCAGAGGAGGCAAAAATCAAGTTGGAGATTCTGGAGCAGAAAGGAATGGACAGGGAGTCTAGGATGTCCAGGACAGCTATTATGGGAGAGTACATATTGTTGAGTTGTGAAAAATAGAATGTAGTCTTTACCATTTCGAAACAACCAGAGGAGAAAATGAATCACAATGCAGTAATATTTAGTTCACAGGTCATAATATCTACATGGTTAAAAATAACTGTGTATAACAAGTGTTTATGTATGTGCATGTACATGTTGGTATTTGGGGCACCAGGGTACCCATGGCACACACATAGAATTCAGAGGATAACTTTGGGTGTCAGTTCTCACAACCCATCTTGTTTGATACAAGATAGATCAGGCCAGCTGGCCTGGATGCTTCAGTGGATTCTGTCTCCTTTCCATCTTGCTATAGAGAGATTGGAGATATGAGCTACTCTGCCTGTTTTTCATGCATTTGGGGGATTTGAAATCAGATCCTTATGTTTGCATGATAAACGCATTATTCACTGAGGCATCTCTCTAGCTATCCAAATTTCAACATTAGTAGCATGAATGATTCTAAAGAGAATATACTAGAAAGAGGTAGATAAAAAGAAGGGTTGTAAGGGAGTTATAAATTGATCAAATTCTTATTTTCTAAAATAGAATATAGAGCAATGTCATAAATAATATATAAGACATATACTAGAAAAATACTAAATAAAAAATATTAAAATGAGTACCCAAAGGGGGAAGGGAATAAAAGAAACTTGCAAAAGTAATCAAAGATGAAAAATGTGTATGTACTTCTTTGTGTGTGTGTTTGTGTGTGTGTGTGTGTGTGTGTGTGTGTGTGTGTGTGTGTGTGTGTGTGTGTATGCATACATGTATTCATGTACATCCACGTGCATGTGAAGGATTCTTAAGGAAGCTGTAAATCAAAACATTTCAGCATATTATTTTGGTTTGTAATACCTATGATACATAGTAAAATTGTAATACTCAAAACTTATTTTGTATATTATTTTGATACATTTAAAAATCATTTAGAAAACATATGCTTTACTATTAGCTATTTTTTAATAAATCATTTTCAGCTTATAGGTTGTATGCTTCCATTCTAGTTTCTCTGAGCATGTTTAGGATCTTCAGGGCTTAACATAAGCATTAATGATCTACAGAATGGGGAGTAGGGATGTTCTTTATGAAACGCCTAGAGTTTGTCATAGAGGACAGTGTCATTTCAGATCTGATTTTTAGATTTGATAATGGGCACATTCTGACATTTAGACTTGATAAAGTGCACTTGAGGAGGAGGTTAAGTCATAAACAAAAAAATGATTGCTGATGAACAAATAGAATAGACCACTCATCTGGTACTTAAAATCAGTTTACTGTGATCACACCTTTGTGAAAACAGCACACATTAAAATGAAATGCCCAAACTACATTTCCTAGAACAAGTCCAGTCATTGAAGAATAAAAACACTGAAAATTTAATAGATACTTTTTGCAGTAATGTTGATGACTATTGAATAAGAAAAGAACCTTTATATTTTCTTTGCTCTCCTTGTAAGTTATAAGTGAATGATATTTCTTGAACAGTCAACATCACCAATTACTTTTTCTGTAGAACCTCTTGAGTAGAGCTAGCATTCCATAGCTGGAGAAGGACAATGGTAGCCAAAGACCTCAAGGTGATCATGCAGCTACGCGAAAACTGAGCAGGTGGACTGGGTAATGTAAGCCAGGTTTACAAACTTAATTCCAAAATTAAAATATTCAATAATGTTGAAATAAAAGGCAGTTCATGTTTTAATGTTCTTGAGGTAAGGGATTCAAATGTAATAAATGAGATAGGTTCCACTGTTTACTTTTTTTTCTCTAAAATTAGGAGTCATGGCACGGCAAAGATCTCTCACACAGGACTCACAGCTTTGATCAGTCCAACATTTCCCTATTCTATTTTTTTCTTTCTTTTCCTCAATCATTTAAAAATTATATATAAAATTTCCCCTTTGCCAACTTCCTCCAGATAACCCCCTCCCCCAATAGTTTCAGTCTCTGTCTGTCTGTCTGTCTGTCTGTCTGTCTCTCTCTCTCTCTCTGTGTCTGTCTGTCTTTCTTTGTCTCTTTGGTTTGTCTGTCTCTCTCTTTCCTGTGTTTCTTGATTTGTGGTGTTGTTTCGTTGTACATAATGGGATTTCAGTTTTCCTTTAACTTATTGTATATAAAACCCCTCAGGTCAGTTTACACCATCAGATAACTGTTTCTCAGCTCCCTAAATCAATTCTTCCACAGGAACTGCCTCTAGATAAATTTAATCTCTTGGGTTGATAGCTATTTTTAAAATAATTTAGAATTTGTACCACAATTCTTGACAGGCTTAGAGGTCTCTTGCAGTTCCCATAATGTCTTTTGGGAAAGTAGGGTAAATATTTCATAATACAGACACATTACTGGTAGATCTAATTGCTCGGGTAATGACATTGAACCCTTTCAATTTTCCTCTGAAGACAGTCTATACTGCTATAATGCAATGTTTTTCTACTCAAGAGCTTGTGGTAGCTACAAAAAAAAAAATAGCAATGAGTGTTTCTTTAAATAGAAGAGCTATACTTGTGGGCTTTCAATGCTGATGATAATCAGTGGCCACTAATTTTATATCTTACCAGACAAAACTGTATTTTTTTTTTGATTATAATTTCTTTTTTTTTTTTTTATTAATTTATTTTGCAATACAATTCAGTTCTACATATCAGCCACGGATTCCCTTGTTCTCCCCCCCCTCCCGTCCCCCTCACCTTCCCCCCAACCCCCCCCCCCCCCCCCATTCCCATCTCCTCCAGGGCAAAGCCTTCCCCACAGACTGAGGTCAACCTGGTAGACTCAGTCCAGGTAGGTCTAGTCCCCTCCTCCCAGGCCGAGCCCCACAACAGACTGCTGGCAGTGGTCGAGAGACAGCCCGAACTGACCTACTCTGGTGATGGGATGGCCAAACACCCTAATTGTTGTGCTAGAAACCTCATCCAACTACTGAGGGATCTGGATGCAGAGATCCATGACTAGGCCCCGGGTGGATCTCTGGGAGTCCAATTAGCGAGAATGAGGAGGGTTTATATGAGCGAGAATTGTTGAGACCAAGGTTGGATAAAGCACAGGGACAAATAGCCAAATGAATGGAAACACATGAACTATGAACCAATGGCTGAGGGGTCCCCACTGGATCAGGCCCTCTGAATGGATGAGACAGTTGATTGGCTTGATCTGTTTGGGAGGCATCCAGGCAGTGGGACCAGATCTTGTGTTCAAAACTGTATTTTTTTCATTACTGTGTAGAGGGAGTTTTGAGACTCTGAGAGATGACTGCATACAATTTAGATACAAACTTAGATTTATCTGGACTAGGTGAATGGAAGTCTACAAACCTACATTGAGCAGAGTTATATTTACTCATTTCTTTAATGAATTATGGGATATTTCCTGCCTTTCTCATTTGAGACTTCATGTGGGAGAGTTATCAAAGGGAGTATTATCAGAGATTATTTAGCATGCAAAATGTTTAAAAAGAGGCCTTGAGCCTCCGTTGAAAAAATATAGCAAAAGGGGCATCATAATATCTGTTTCTATCATGATGCGCCTATTCTAAGACTGGATGGTACCTCTCAAGCTGCAGAAGATGCTCCATTGGAGACCTATGTCAGACTTCAACAGTGTGCTTGGGCATGTCCTAGAATAATGACCATAAGTAGGGACCTTGCCATAACATGCAAAGAATTAGAAGAGATATTTTACTGTCAGAGAAAAATAATTTAACAATTTACATATTCTCTTAAATTTTAGGGTATTATGATATCAGAATGAGTAAAAATATCTGTTAATATGTATTTAAATCCATGTACAAGTACACATTGTATGTATATTATATAACATATATAAATGTATCTAACACCTGATAAATATATCAAAAGAATGAATGATGAGCACTGGACAGGTTTATTATTTCAAATTGTCTTAGAAATAGTGTAGCTTTTAACATTTTGATGACAGACAATATCTTAAATGCATAAATAAAGTAGATATATTGATGTTTCCTTTTAAATTTGACATTAAAGTTTTCATCATAAAGCCCCCCCAAATCCCAATTCTAATCTCTGTTAACTATTCCAGTTAATGAGTAATTGTTAGTATATGTCCTATATTTCAGTGTTTACAAAATTGTAGCTATTAACAGTTTGTGAGGACTAATATTGTCAGTCTTACAGGATGTAGAGTTATTGATAAGACCAACTTTGAGCTTGCTCGTGAGGGAGCTTTCAGATTAGGTTAACTGAGGTAGGAAGACCTCCCCTAAATATGTAAAATATCATCTTATGGAGTGTGGTCCTGGGCTGAGTTTAAAGGAAACATGGTAACCAAACAGCAGTGTTCATGTCTCCTTACTTCCTGACTTTAGATGCAATATAAGCAACCAGCTGCACTACAGTATTGCAAGTAGGACTTCTCTGCCACTGTCGTGTGCTGTGCGGCCCCCGGAAAAATGCTCCTTTGTTCAGCTGCTTCTTGTCAAGTATTTGGCCACAGAAACAGGAAAAGTAACTAATAATTTAGAAGAGGGTTTTACCAAAGACAGTCAGCTCTGCGGGGTCGCTGTCTCTTTCTCCCACCATATTGGTTCCCACACAGGTATACATCCCTGCATCGCTTTTCCTGGTATTTGAGATCATCAGTTTCCCACCACGGATCTATACAAAATAAACAAAAGAAAAGGAAACAAAAAAGAAAGAGGCTCTACTTAATCATTTTGAATATTTAAGATCAGCCAAATTTATTGCTGAAAAAAAAATAGAAGTTTTATTTTTCATAGAATTTAGATTATAAGTAAAATGGCTTGTATAAACCATTGAATTTTGAGATGGTTTGATAAGTAGCAAAGGTCAAAGGATATATTTTCAAAAGAACGTACTCAACACAAAACCTTTAACTAAAGACCAAATTCTCATTGGTGTGGTAACCCTTCATAATAATGATAAAGGCAGAAACATGAGTATATATTGCAGTCTCTACCTGCCATTTATATTTTGTGAAATATTGTCATCTCAATGTTTACATGGCATGAATTCACATTTATAAAAAGTATATACTTAAATATAATAGATAACACATATGATTTTTTTGGTTGAAATGATGTTGTGGGATAATCTTTTTGAACACTGTGAAGATGTGTCTTTGCCAAAGTGCCTTCTGATTGGTTTAATAAAGAGCTAAATGGGCATCATCTAGGCAGGAGAGGATAGGCAGCATTTCTGGGAAGAGAGAGGAAGAGGAGATGAATCTAGGTGCAATGTGACACCAGCAATACATGGACCAAGTTGGTTGTACACAATGCTGCAGAGGTAAAAAAGCCATGTAGTAGAATGTAGATTGATAGAAGCAGGTTAATTTAAGTTATTAGAGCTAGTTGGGGACAAGCCTATACTAAAGGCCAAGCTTTCATAATTAATAAGAAGTCTCTGTGTCATTATTTGTGAGCTGGTGGTCCTAAAAGAAAGTCAAACAAAATAACATTTGTCCAGTCAAATGAAACATTTATTTTTAACACAATTCATTAATTCTCAGTCACTGTATTTTATCTAAATGAGGAATTACTGAATAATATCAAATGTAAATTTTATTTCAGTGAAGTTGTCCTCATCTCCTTTTTTTTTTTTTTTTTTTTTTGTTTGTTTGTTTTTTGAGACAGGGTTTCTCTGTGTAGCTTTGCGCCTTTCCTGGAACTCACTTGGTAGCCCAGGCTGGCCTCGAACTCACAGAGATCCGCCTGGCTCTGCCTCCCGAGTGCTGGGATTAGAGGCGTGCGCCACCACCGCCCGGCTTCTCATCTCCTTTTATAATACTGAATCTAGTATAAAATGAGAGGTAGCTAATAAGCTTAATGGCTACCATGTATATTTATATATCAATGTATAAAGCATAAATGACTGGTAGAAATCTCTAGAGAAAGAATATATTACTATTACACTATATAATCACAATTACATATTCAAATTGGTGCAATTATTAGTATAACATAAACATTTATGATTGTCTTATGGAGTGTCATCCAAAATTCAGTATGTTATATATGGGAAGTTAGCATTTAGATCCAATTTTGTTATTAAGATGTTAACAGAATTCGTTCAGATGTGAAACGCAGTATTTCTAGACCTTTCTTGCAAATGGACTCACACTAATTCTTTCTTCCTTGTCATCAATTCGGACTTTGTCTTTCTTCCAGTAGATGGTGGGTTCTGGGTGTCCCCGCGGGGGCTGGCACTCCAGGATTGCAGGCTCTCCAGCAGCCACTACCACATCTGTGGGGTTTTGCCGGAAGTCATCTCGCAATACTGAAGAAAAATTAAAACAGTTAAAAATACTCTTAATAATAATATTCTATTTTGTCTTGCCAAAATTAACTTTAAGCCTTACCCACATGATAGATGCTAGGTATTTCCAGTGCACATAGTCACACCCATCAGAAAAATAGGTCAAACCCAACCTAAGTGTCCACTGATGGAGAAAGAGCTATTAGTTACATATATATAGGTTCTAAAATCCAGGTTTAAAAATGAGATGTCAAAGAGCAATGAAATAAGACATTTATGATATAGCTCTGAGCTATAATAAGCAAGCAAGGTATGGAACATTTCACATAATGTGGATCTATCTACTTTCTATTAAGAAAAGCATATATGCATATGTGTTCATAAGTGCATTATAAGATAAACCAAACCCTGAAGCAAGCTGTACACATGCAGCTTATGAGCCTGTGTACACATGGGTCTATGATAGATGTGAAGTGAGAACTCTGAGAAGCTGTCTTTCTTGGGACATGAATGTGGACACACCACACAGCTATCCACACTTCAGTAAGCAGACTCAGTTGTTGACTTTCGCAATGCACTAGCACCCACGTACAACGGTTTCATTTTTATTCTCTCTGTATCCCCACCTGCCAAGTGACATCTGGGTAGCGTGACATGCGCAGCAGAGATACCCTTTACAGCCCTGTTGCAGCCTGAATCATCCCTCTTTTCATTAGTAAGGAGAACAGCAGGTTGGACCTCTGATACAACCTCCAAAAATCTGGCATGTGTCAGATGTCCAAATGTCACATATCTATCAGTACGATCATTTCTTCTGCTGGCAAGATGGGAATCTACATGCCCTATCAGATTGAAGAGAAGTGAGTGTATTTGGCAAATAGTGGCCATAACTATTTTAGTAAAAACATTCAAAATAGGAGTTGAGATTGGCTGACATGATGTTTACCTTCACTGTCTTTTGTTTCCCAACTATGTTCATTTTCCTTTTCTTTGACATCCCAACCCTCACAAGCTTTATTTTGTCTTATACAATTAGTTTTGTGTTCTTTGAGACAGCCTCACTATGTAGCCTAGGCTGGCCTCAAACCAATGATCTTATGATCCTTCTGCTTGTCAATTATTGAGATTTCAGGCATATAGTATAATCTAGCAAACAAGGTTTAATTTAAAGTATGTAAAGGTAAAATTTCTATCTATCTATGTATCATCTATCTATCTATCTATCTATCTATCTGCATACACTGTTCCCTTATATATAATACATGTATACATGTGGAGGTATGTCTGTTTCTATATGAATGTGAATGTCCATACAGATGCATAAATGTGTCTAAATATATATATATATATATATATATATATATATATATATAATGGACTACATACATATAGTCACTAAATAGCCTCATATAGTCTGTTAGATAAAACAACTATTGGCAATGTGGATTATTTTGAGTCAGTTGCCTTCCCTATCCTATTATGAGACCCATCTCAGCCTCTGTATCTTTCTTTGTTCTGTAGAGTCTCTAGGTTCATTTTCATTCTGCAAATAAATAAATAAAAAAATTTCTACCCTGAAAATAGCCCCAGAGAAACAAGTGAGTAACTTTTCAGGTTTTTCTTCTCTTCTTTTCTCATAACACATCTTTTAACACAGCTTCTCATCTTAATGAAGTCATTGCCATGTAAGAGAGAACCTTGTTTCCTATTGAAGGAGCAGTAGCAAAAGATTCTCCTCCAAACTGTTCACTGTCAACTTAGAAACAGATTTATTTAGTGCTTTTCTGTTAAGGACAGGTATTACACATTAGCTCTGAGAAGTGCACAGGTTTTTTATTTATTTATTTATTTTTGTTGTTGTTTGTTTTTTCCTTTTCTAACTGGCAAAGGACACGTGATATTTATGCATAAGAACTAGCTTCTGAACGAGGAGAGGGAGGTGTACATTTTAACATTCATGCAAGGGATGAGAAGGGTTAACCCTGGGGTTCCCTCTTGTAGGTATATCCTCCAGGGAGAGCAAGCTGGTGACTAATTTATATTCAAAATAGAGAACAGCTGCCTATTTATGCAATGCTAAGAAGTGCAAAAATATGGTAACAGGGTGATGAATACCCTATGATATCCGGTCCTGGCAACAAATGGTATTTTGGCAGACCCTCAATCTGTTCCAAAATGGCACATCTGGCCATTTGAGGGCCCTTCACCAGATCTTGTCTCCTAACAAATGGCATGCCAAGGAGCCTTAGCTCAAATGGTCCTAAAGGCCATCGCAAATCATTCTGAGAATCAATCTTACATGGATTTGCAACAATCTAAATTTTGTAAAACAGTCCTTTGACATGGTGAACAAAATGAAGAAAATATCATAACAAACTATAAGGACTGCTCCTCTGAAACAATATAACATGTGTTTATGCATTCAAAAAAAAAAAAAGGAAAATGACTCCCATTTGCACATGAAGCCAAGAAATCTAACATCATCTGTAATTTTAGGCTTTCAGACTGTTCACTCAGAGAGTAGGGTGAGATAATGGTATAATTGGTACTGTACCCTCTTCAACTTGTAATCTGCTCTTTGGGGTTTCCCTATAATGCAGCTAACTGGTGTGCTCCCGGTCACACCAGTTCATTTGCACTGAGTTGTGGGGTAAAAATGGGGTAAAACGTGTCTCCTCTATCTCACTCAAAACTTAAAGTGGCTGCATATTAACATCTGACAGAGCATCCTAACAGACTGAAATTTTCATTTTTTCCCTTCTTTCTCTGTCAGTGGAGGTGTGCTTTGCAAAGCTGTTCCACCAACATGTTCTATGCTGGAGGAGGACTCCTTAAGTCTTTTTTTCTTTGGAAATGAATAAAACTCACAAGGTTCATGAAGTAAGTAATTTTTTTTAATACTTTTGTTATTTTTTTGAGATTATAATTACATTATTTCCTGCTTCCTTTTCCACCTTCCAAACCCTGTCATATATCCCTCTTTGATCTTTTTCAAATGTGTGGCCTCTTTTTATTTAATTGTTGTTTTACACACACACACACACACACACACACACACACACACACACACACACACACACAAAGTAAAACCTGCTCAGTCTGTATTATATTTCTTGTATGCTTTTTTCATGGCTGACCATTTGGTATTAAAAACCAATTGGATGTGGTTAAAAATAGGTGGCCTCAATCCTACACAAAGAACTAAGGAATGCTGAAAAAAGGAAAAAAAAACCCTCTAACTCACAAATTTTTAAGAAATGCTTGAAAATTGTAAGATTCACAAGGCTCCCTCTAATTTTATAAAATCTGGGGAAAGAAGATGCTCCAGGATGCTGATCTACCTCATATAAGGAGCTCCAGGGATGCAGCTTTCTTGAATATTTAACCATGCTGGGGTGAACTTTTTGGTGATGTAGCTTTTTTAAATTTTATTTTATAATTTTTATGTAAAAATAAATTCTTTTCTTTTACATACCCACCCCCTGTTCCCCCTTCCTCCTCTCCTCCCACCCCCCTACACCTGCCCCATTCCCACTCCCATCCCCTCCTCATAGAGAGAAGGCTTCCCTTAGGTAGTCAACATGGGCTGGCATACCAAGTTGGGGCTGGACCTTAGTCACTCACACTCCTGTAAGAAACCCTATAATCTCACTGGTTCACTAAGATAGACTTGAGCAGACTCTTTTCTTTTATCTATTGTCAATGTGCCATCTGGGGTGATTTACATCTCCCCAGTACAAGTCTATCAATAGTTTGTTTGCCTCCATTTTTCTCTTTTCATACACTCCACATTCACTGGTGGTCAGAGTTGCTTAAAGCAGGCAGAGGACAGCTTCTTTCCATTCATCAGCAAGAAAAGAGATTCTCAGTCTTACAACACTTGAAGACTCAAATTGCTATTAAATTCTGTTGTAATTTGTATACAATAGTAGGTTACCCTTATAATACCTTATACATGTTTTGTGGTCAGTTTATAATTTCAATTTTCTTTCTTTCTTTCTTTCTTTCTTTCTTTCTTTCTTTCTTTCTTTCTTTCTTTCTTTCTTTCTTTCTTTCTTTTTTTTTAAAGATTTATTTTATTAAGTATACAGTGTTCTGCCTACATGTATTCCTGCAGGTCAGAAGAGGGCGCCAGATCTCATTACAGATGGCTGTGAGCCACCACGTGGTTGCTAGGAATTGAACTCAGGACCTCGACCAACTAGTGTTCTTAACCTCTGAGGCATCTCTCCAGCCCAGTTTATAATTTTAGATATTGCATATTTGACTTCTCTGTCTCACATCTCCATTTTTTTTCCACTAATCACCTCTTTTCCCTTTTGTCTTAAGTAATCAGTTCTCTGGTCTTTATTTTATAACCCCAGTTAGAGCAAATCATCACTTAAATATTTCTATCTTAGGTCATTAAAATAAGTTAGCAATAATAATGTGAACCTAAACAATAAATGGACTTTTGAGAGATACATTAATGAAACAGTGCACTGAGGATCCCCAGTGAGGTCATTAGCAATGTAAAGCCTGAAAACATCATTGATAGAAGTAGTCATGCACAGCAGTGAATAAAGAAAACCACTGCAAACAAACAAAATTGCTCATGAGAAAGGTAATCTAAAATGGAATTATAATGATAAGCTTGAATAATGGCGGTCTCAAGCTAAAGGCAAGTAAGAGAACACTTAACCTGTGGTCCAGGCACGTAGAACGTCACTTGGTGTGTGCATTTTACAAGAGCTGTGAGACTTGTGCCACAGCCATCCCTAATTTCTCTATAGAAACCTGAACTCAAGTTCCAAGCACACAGTTGAAATTTCCAATAGGAAATCTCAGTGAACCATAACACTTTGAAAGACAGAGCTTTCTGTCTTGCATAGAACCAAACAGGAAATGATGGGTTGTTTTGCCATTTTTAATGCTGGGAATGGAACTCAGGACCTCACACATGCTAATGATAACTCAGCTACAACTCCAGCCTCTAGGATATTCTTTAGTGTAAAAACATTATATTTTACTAGCATATGTTC